CGAGCAGGGGGCTACTCTTTGTTGCGGTGCACAGCAGGTTGGCTGTATTAAATATAAATCGGTCCATGATAAGTACAAGCAATTATTACAGCTTGGACTACTGGGGCTCTACTGCCTTCCTCTAGCTTGGGGAGGCATTTATGAGAATCCACTTCTAGTCACCAATGCCACTGAATTTTCCTGAGTTTGAGTTCCATCTGTCTCCCCCACCAAGCTTGTACTTTTCTCCCTGCATCGGGAGACTGGTCAGGAGCTCCTCTGTGCAACCAGCCTATTCTCGAGGTCACGGTTAGAAAAATAAATGACTTATTTTCTAATAAAGACACAAAGATAACTTTTAGAATCTCTGTTTTTCCACCAACTATTTTAAAACTCAGAAGTAAACTATTTTAGGTCCTCATAGTGAAAAGAACATAAAACACTGGTCTGATGATGTTTTTCAAGGAACTCTTAAATTTTCATGGTTTAATGCTCCCAAATTCATTCTTACAGGTCCTGAAGACTGGTATACTCTACCTGTTTTTTGTTTCCCCCCTTGTTTCACCTTGGGTTTTGTCTTTTGTTATATAAATCTTACAGAGGCTCCTGGCCTAAAAGAGTAAACTAGATCAGGACACCCAAGAGGCAGGCCAGCACAGAGCACAGTTCTGCAGACTCTGTATCTGTGTAACCTCTACAAGAATTCTGAAAAACCAGGTATCCTCTCACTCATTTTGAAATTGACATTTAAAATGTTTTCTATTACTCAGCGGTAAAAAAGAATGAAATAACGCCATTTGCGGCAACATGGATGGACCTAGAGATTATCATACTAAGTGAAGTTAAGTCAGAAAGACAAATACCATATGACATCACTTATACCTGTAATCTAAAATACGACACAAATGAACTTATCTACGAAACAGAAACAGACTCACAGAAACAGAGAACAGACTTGTGGTTACCAAGGAGGAAGGGGGATGGGGGAGGGATGGATTGGGAGTGTGAGATTAGCAGATGCAAACTATTATATACAGAATGGATAAACAACAAGGTCCCACTGTAGAGCACAGGGAACTACATTCAGTATCATGTGAGAAACCGTAACGGAAAAGAACATGAAAAAGGACATACATATGTAAAACTGGATCACTTTGCTGTCCAGCAGAAATTAACACAACACTGTAAGTCAACTATATTTCAATAAAATTCAAAAAATAAAAATAAAAAATAAATATTTTCGTCTCAAATTTAAAGAGTCGCAAAAGACATAAATTCTGGCATGTAAATATTGATGTCTTCAAATAAAACTGCTTCGTCGGTAGTTTAAATGGGCCCAGTGGGATCTAAACAGCATAGAGGGGGAATTCCCTGGTGGTCCAGTGGTTAAGACCCAGCACTTTCACTGCCGGGGCCCAGGTTCAACCCCTGGCGGAGGAACTAAGATCCTGCAAGCCGCGCGTTGCAGCCAAATAAATAAGTAAAAATAGACAGCACAGGGATTTGACTCTCCCATTATCCACTTAAAAATATACACAAACTAAGCTGTGCGTTTATGTCTAATGCACTTTTCTGTTCGAGGGTTACATTCTACACGCAAAACCACATGTGCAAGCTCTTCTTCAAAAGTCAAAAAATGTACATCATTCTCTTTTCTCCTTGATTTGGACTTCAACTGCATTTCCCCACAGAATTTCATCCTAGAGCAACCGACATTGTATGCTAGAAAGTCTGTCACTGGTTTCTTTATCATACTGCTTTGGAAAAAAATATTTCTATTCATTTCCATTTAATTCTTAAAAATTCCCTGTGAGCCTAGGGCTCCAACTGCTTAAATAACAATTTCCTGGATTGAGCGACCATTGAAACATTAGCGGTCGAGGGGCTTCCCTGGTGGCGCAGTGGTTAAGAACCCACCTGCCAAGGCAGGGGACACGGGTTCAAGCCCTGGTCTGGGAAGATCCCACATGCCGTGGAGCAAATAAGCCCGTGCGCCACAACTACTGAGCCTGCGCTCTAGAGCCCGCGAGCCACAACTATTGAAGCCTGCGTGCCACAACTACTGAAGCCCACGCACCTAAAGCCCGTGCTCCGCAACATGAGAAGCCACGACAATGAGAAGCCCACGCACCGCAACGAAGAGTAGCCCCAGCTCGCCGCAACCAGAGAGAGCCTGCATGCAGCAACGAAGATCCAACCCAGCCATAAATAAATAAATAAATAAATTTAGAACTATTAGTGGTCAAGGACACATTCATAGTAACAAAAATTGAATATGCTGTTTCATAATTATTAGACACTCAAAAGTAAAATATTCTTGGAAATGCATATTCTCATGGATGAGGCTTTTTTTCTTATATTTTCAATTCATTCATATAACTGTGAATAAACATCAAGAAGTTATTGCTAGAATAAGACAGGGCTAAGCATCAATTTTATTTCTGTTTTTCTTTGGGTTCTTTCTTTTCTTAAAGTAAACAGAGAAAACGTGTTCATGTAAAGAAGATAGAAAAAAATAGATATATTGTTATAATATTGTCATTTTGTTCTTTGAACTCTATCCAAGGAGGCTCAAAATCCCAGAGTGGTCCACCATGGAAATTTACACTAAAGGCTTTTTTTTTTTTTTGGCTATTCCACACAGCTTGCGGGATCTTAGTTCTCTGACCAGAGATCAAACCCAGGCCCTTGGCAGTGAAAGTGCTGAGTCCTAGCCACTGGACTACCAGGGAATTCCCTACATTAAAGGATTTTTCTGCTAACAGTTTGATTCAAAGGACGGGACAGTCTCCGAATCGCTAAAGGATTTGTGTCCAGCGATCAGTGGTTCAAGTCCTTCACTATCTCCACCCGAGCACCAACATGCCAAGGGTCTCTCCGTCTGTGCGTGGAGATGTGGTTACCCAAAGACAAGGAAGTAAGGCAAGAGTGCATCTTCCCTTCGTGAAGTAGGAGAGGACGACTGTGTCGGGGAAGCTGGGAAGACAGGACCTGCCACTGGGGTATTCTCAGGCAGAGCAATTTGGGGAAAGAGAACAAAACTGGAAGCTGAGGGCCTGGGAATTGATTCTGTGACCACTCTCCATGCCCTGTGAAACACCCAGAATGTCTCCACAGATGCCAGTCTCACAGCTGCTGACTTAGAGAACTTTTGGGAGGTCCCACACCCGGGTCAGGTTTTGCGGATCACAGAACTACAAAAAGAGGAGAAAGGAACCAAATTCTGAGCAACCAAAAGGGAAAACCACATATTAACATGGCTTCTGATGTGACTGATGTGACTGGAATACACAGCACCACTGTGACAGTGATTCACATAATTCAGGCCTGGAAAATGGAATCTGCATTAAGCAAGCCTTGAGGTCCAACTCCCAGCTTACAGGAGACCCAGGGGACAGAGGAACAAGTTCAACAGCACCATAAGGAAGCAATCTGCCAAAGTCAGAATGTGGGACACTCTACAGATGAATGATCCAGTTTCTCTAACATATTACGAGCATGGGGAAAAAAGGCCATGGGGCGGTGGGGCTGGTGGGGGGTACTGCTAAAGAATAAAAGGGACTAAAAAGATTCAGTATGAAACAAATTCAATATGAAAATCTTGTTTGTATCCTGATTCTAAGAAAACAATTTTAGAAGACAATTTTTTTTAAAAATGGCAGAAGTCTGAATGTGAACTAAGTGTTCGATAATAATAAGGAATTATTAATTTTGGTAGGTGTGATAATACCATGGTGATTATGTTTTTTTAAAAAAAGTCATTCAGGGAGTTCCCTGGTTGCCTAGTGGTTAGGATTCAGTGCTTTCACTGCTGTGGCCCAGGTTCATTCCCTGGTCGGGGAACTGAGATCCTGCAAGACGCGTGGTGAGGCAAGAAAGAAAGAAAGAGAGAGAGGGAGGGAGAAAGCAAAGGGAAAGAGAGAGAGAGAGAGAGAGAGAGAGAGAGAGAGAGAGAAAGAACAAAAGAAAGAAAGAAAGAAAGAAAGGAAGAAAGAAAGAAAGGAAAGAAGGAAGGAGAGAGAGAGAGGAAGGAAGGGAGAGAGAAAGGAAGGAAGGAACGGAGGAAGGGAGGGAGGAAGGGAAAGAAAGGGAGGGAGGGAGGAAGGAAAGAAGGGAGAGAGAAAGAGAGAAAGAAAGAGTCATTCAACTAGAGTTGTGCATTGAATTTACAAGTAAGATCACATGATGTCTAAGATTTGCTTTTACACAGTATTCCACCTCCCGAGAATATGGGGTGGGAGGAGGGGGAAACACGTGAAATTGAGATTAGCAAAATGTCAATAATGATTGAAGCTGGGTGGTGGGTACCTGGGCTGCCTCATAGGATTCGCTCCACTTTATTACACATTTGAAACTGTCTTGGGGACTTCCCTGGTAGCACAGTGGTTAAGAATCCACCTGCCAATGCAGGGGGCACGGGTTCGATCCCTGGTCCGGGAAGATCTCACGTGCTGCAAAGCAACTAAGCCCGTGCGCCACACCTACCGAGCTCTAGAGCCCACTAGCCACAACTACTGAAGCCCGTGTGCCTAGAGCCTGTGCTCTGCAGCAAGAGAAGCCACCGCAATGAGAAGCCGGCGCACTGCAAAGGAGAGTGGCCCCCGCTCGCCACAACTAGAGAAAGCCCGCGGGCAGTCACGAAGACCCAGCGCAGCCAAAAAAAAAAAGATAATGTCTATAATATAAGGTCTTTCAAGGGTGAGAAGGAGGAGAGAAAGAGAATATTTAATTAGTGCCAGCAAAGCTCTGTGCTAAGCCCTTCCTAAATATTATCTTATTGGAAATACTTATTTACAAGTCCTGAGACAGCTGCCAACAAGCTTCTTTCACTGTCTAAGGAGAGGCAGGGGCATTCAGTACGCTGGATGCAAACAGGGTCAGCGAGAAGAGGGAGCCATTAGCACCTGTAGATCACAGAGATGCAGCTTGGCCGCATGCGGAGAAACTGGAAATACCCCTTAGCAGAGAAATAACAAAATAAACATCCTCCACTTACATCCCTCCTACCACGTGCTACTTACCCCTGCAGCAAAGCCAAGGCTTCCATCTAAGATCCGCCTCTGAAAATGAAAAGAAGATGTTTCAGTTTCTAAGGGATGTTCCGTGGGATAAGAGGAAACCATAGGCCTAAGAGAGCCACATGAATAAAGTCTAGCCCATGCCTCACTCTGCGAACCTATCTGGAATCCTGGACCCAAGCCTTTAAAAAATGGGCCAAGAACCAGGGGGAAAAAATTTTTTTGAAACCTTCCATCCATCCCACAGCCAATCAGAGCATTCTTTCAGTGTGACCCTTGCTTTTCATTGGTCCACGTGTTTTGCCTCTTCCTCGGCTCTCCCTGTGAATTATGGCTACAAACCTTTAGTAAGGAGCTGGTCTAAACGATGGAAAGTGACAAGCACTGGCAAGGAGCATGTGGACCAATCAAAATCCTCCCACACTGAAAGAGGCAGAGTACAAACTGGTACAGCCACCTGGCAAAGCTGGCGGCACCCACTAGAAATTAAGCATACCCTATGACCCAGCAGTGCCACTGGGCATAATCACCTAACAGAAATGCATATTTGGATTCACCAGACGCGTGTACGAAAATGCTCTTTGCGGCATTATTTGTGAGAGCCGAAAACTAGAAACTAACCGAAAGCCCACCACAAGCAGAATGGATACACCATTAGGTTGTACGCATACAAGAGAACACCACGTGGAAATGAGAACACACATATATAGATGAATGGAGCTCACAGTCGGGCAGGGGCATTCAGCAGACTGGAAAATAAATAGGGTGGAATCAGCCCGACAGAGAAGAGCATATACTATACGGTTACTCCATTTATATACTATACAAAACACAGAAAACAAATCTCTGCAGTTGGAGAGCAGGAGAGGGGCTGCCCTTGCAGTGGAGGTAAGGGGTGGGGAGGCAGTGATTGGAAGGGACCCTGAAAGGGCTGGTGGGAGCGGGGGGATGGGGGGGCTGGTCCTGTTCCAGCACTTGATCTGGGTACTATTTTCACTGGTGAAAAGTTATCAAGCTGTACACTTATAAAATGTGCATTTTTCTATCTGCTTTGTAGATTTCAATAAAAAGGGTTGTTGTTTTTTTTTTAGGAAGTGGCCTAAGTTAGGGATATAATCTATAGCCACATGGACACACTAGAGATACACTGAGATGCTTATCACCCCGATCCTTGAGCCTCCCAGTGAGGTCTGGGAAGCTAGTGCTGACAGGTAATCATCACGGCTACAGGCACCCTCTCCCCACCTCTGTGTGGCTAAGGGGTGGATGGAAGGTTCTGACCCCAGTGAGCCACACAAATGACACTCTTCTCTAGGCCTGCCACGACATAAGCCAAGTTGGTCTAATCAACTAATTTAATCAAAGCAGACAGATATAATTCAAAACTCAGGCAGAATCATCCTTTCAGCATTCCTCTGGATCCTGAAAGGAGAAGCATTATACTTTTCTTAAGATCAGTAAACCTGTTCTTCTACTTTCAGACATTTGTCTCAAGGAGCTAATCAGATGTGTGCTCAAAGATTCATGTTCATCATAACACTACTTCTAGAAGCAAGAAAAAGAGACATAAACTAATTGTCCAGCGGTTGGGGACTGGCTAACTCAACTGCAATGCATTTTTATGGCGGGATATTCTACAGCCATTTAAGTAACCAGAGTAAATCAAAATGATCGAAAAACCATTTAGGGATATAGGGAGGCGTACTTACAACATCCAGTGAGAAACGCTGGTTATAAAACATCACAGACAGTTTGCTCCTCATTATGTAAAGAAAACAGATATGTCTGTACTTATGTTCACTCAAATACAGCTGAATACATTTGAACAAATATGTTCGGTTTTCCTTTCAGAGAAGCGGGATCATGAACTTTTTTATTATTTCTTTCAGCTTTTCCATATTTTCCAAGCTTCCTACAATTACAACGTGAGTTTTTCAATCGAGAAAATGAATCTTGAGTGAGGTTGAGCCAATGCTGCCAAGAGCAGCAGAGCAGAGGGCGGATGGCTGAGTGTCTACTATCCCAAGGGACCGTCACCACAGCCCCCATTCTAGCTGGGCGAAAACTGAGGTTCCCCAGGGAGGGGAAGGGGAAGAGCCAACCCCTGTGCGCTCACGTCTACGGCTGGCTTTATCCCCTCGTGCTGAAGCCCCTTCCCACTCCTCCCGCATCCCTCCTGTGCAGAGAGGGCTCACACAGCCCAGCTGGGCCTGCTGTCTTTAGAAGGTCCCACTTTCAAGGTTAGCCCTTGGCTGGCTTCTGAGAAGTTGGCACTGGGACTGCTCGCCCCACTCCCTGAGCAGTAAGGGTGGGCCCCAGTGCCTGCTTCACAAACAAGGTGATTTGTGCACAACACCTGCTTTCCTTCTTCAAGTCTGGGATTTGGGTTGGCAGCTCAGCACAGATGCCCACGTGACCAGTCCCCAGTAAACACCTTGGGGCCCGAGTCTGAACTGGGCATCCCTGGGCTGACACATGGTCCACGTGTTACTGCATTTTCGTTGCTGGCGGAATGAGCACGCTCTGTGCCCCCTCACGAGAGGAAGGGGGCGTTGGATCCCAAATCTGGGCACAGGCTTCTCCAGACCCTGACCGTCTCTGTCTTGCTGATGCTATCGTGTGGCCTTTCGCTGTAAGAAACCTGAGCCATGAAAACAACTCGATGCTGAGTCCTCTGAGTCTAGCGAATCACCAAACGCGTGAGTGGTCTCGGGGAGCCCCTGTGTGCCTCCACACAGAGAAAGGACTCGGCAGTTCCTCCTACTGGCCTGGGGATTACACTAACACGACACAAACGAGCGGCTCTGCGGCTCCCAAGGGGAAGGGGGCACCTCTGCTATGGCTTCTCCCTTCTGAGGAGCCTCCACAGCATTGGCCGGGGCCACACGGGGCTGTGGGGTTCCACTCGGGTCTCCAGGGCCAGGTGGGCCAGCTAGACCCCAGCTATTTCGACTCAGATCTCGCCTTCTCAACGCAAAAGAAACTGGTGAAGATGAGATGAGATGAGACGGTGAAGGTGCTCTGCGCCAGAAGGGCGCGAGGACAGGACCCCAGAAGACCTGGCATGGCTGTCAGGAACCGGGAGGAGGGTTAGATCACCTGTCGACAGTAACCCGGGACTCCTCAGGGCTGTGGGTCTCCCCAGGCAGGGGAGGGCAGTGGGGGAGGCCCCACCTTGTTGGCAACATCAACACTGCTTTTCAGGCTCTAACACAGGAGTGCCTGGCTGGCCGGCTTCCTAGATGGGTTTTGCTTTCCAGATAGGCCTCCCAGCACACTTCTGGCTAACCACCCCTACAGTGTCTGTGGCTGCGTGAGCCACGCAGGGGCTTCACTTTCATCAAGGCATCCATGGCTGATGGCTCCAGGCCTTGGACGGGGGGGGGGTGGGGGGGGGTGGTGTCAAGGTTGCAGGAAAGAAAGGACTTCCAGGCACAAGAGGGGGGCGTGGGGAGGGGCGGGGTGGGGTGTGTACTGGGGGGGCGTGGCCCTGGGGATGTGAGGGGGATGCACAGGGCCAGCGTAGGGGTCTGGGGGGAGAGGGGAGGGAGAGGAGCGTGGGAGTTTGCATGGAGTGTGTAGGAGGGTGTAGCATGTGGCGGAGGGAGAGGTGGGGTCTGGGGGATCTAGGGGTGCAGGGGTGGGAGGGGTAGGCAGATGTGGGGTCTATAGGAGCCTGGGAGGCAGGTGTGCGTGTATTCATCCCAAAGAGGGTGAGGGAGTCCATGAAGAGCCTGGAAATGGGGTAAAAGAGGAAGTGGACAGACGACCCCCCCCTCCTTTTCCCCAAGGTCTTTTCAACCATCTCTAATTCAAGGCCACAGGGCAGGAGAGGTACAAACCTCACGCACATCACCACCTGCTCCGGACCCAAACTAGACGGAGGATAGAAATTAGGCAGAGGGCTCAAGGAGGCTGAGTACCTGGTCTTCTCACTTACTGCTCCCTCTGAGTCAGGAGGGGGGAAGCAGGGGACCCAGAAGCATGGGCGTAGCAAGCTGGAGGGGACAAGGGGAGGCAAGGGGGCAGAGCCAACGTCATCCCAACCTGGAGCTGTGGCCGGCGGCATGCGCGAGTCTGCAGCCCGGCTGGGCGGAAGGAGCTGGTTTCAAAGCTCGCTAAGAGAGTCCCCGAGAACCCTCAGAACCCCCAGAACCGAACCGAGGCAACTCACCTGTCCACTAGAGAATACGAACACAAGAGCTGCCCCAGCCGCCGTCATCCCCCAGGTGAAGAAGGTCCCCAGCAAGGCCTGGGACACAGGGCTGTGGCCTTGGAGCATGCTGGATACAGCTGTGTGCAGAGGAGCACGAGAGGGTCAGCACCTGCGGCCCCTCCACCCGAGCTGGCCCACGTCTGGGCTGCTGGTGTGCACCCTTCCGCCATCCATCCCGCAGTGACCTCAATGACCCGGCGCAGGTCGGGTGGCTTCATCCAGCTTCTCCCCGGGTACTGGAAATCATCTAACTCCAAAAGGAGGGACATGCGGACACATAGGGAGATGCCAGAGGAGTAGACGCCACGACAGAAGGGACGACATTGGGAAATAGTTCCAAAGAGAAGAAGCACAAAGAATGTGAATTATTTAGCCTGGAGGAAGGGCGCATGGGAGGGTCGGGCGACTGCAGCCTTCCAGCATATTCTGCCTTTTCTACCTGGCCTTGCCTATCGTCCATCAGCGGTTCTGTCTCCTCCAAACACAGGTGACTAGCTCCGATTCCCTCTTGAAGTTCTTCCACCTACATCCTGATCACACTTTCAATAGCTCCCCGGGGCGGTTCCCACGGCGGTTCCCAAGGCCTGCAAAGGGTACACGCCATAGACTGACCTGCAACTAGCCCAATAACTGTTCAGCTACTGCACCCTGCGTGGGCATCGTATTCCAACTCAACCCAATTATTCCCAGAACCTTTGACAAGCCCCAGATGGTCCTACTCCAAGTCTCTCTTTATCCGGTTTCCTCCCAGCATGCCTTCCTCCGCACCCTCCAGCCATCAGACCCACTGAATCCTCTGTTGCCCACCTAACACCGAATTCAATTCCACGCTTCCCTGATTCCTCTCCACTCCCGTCCGAGGACACACCTTCGGTGTTTTCTTTGTGTGGGCTTGCCTCCTTCATCTTTTATATCATTCGTTGCTTAAAAACAGGGATGATGTTTTTTCACACTTGACACCCCTGTAAAATAGGGCTTTCTGACACCCCAAAACTATGTGTTGAATTGAAAAGGGCCAGCTTAACTTGAATAAGACACTCAGCAAGAACAAGGAAACAGAGACCCAAGGGGCATTTCCGCCAGTCCACTGAGCACGCCTGCTCCCAAAGCTGGGGAATCTCCTCTAGACTTAACATGTTTTCAATTCTAGCTCTAAAATGACAGGGAAATCAGACGCTCCCTGTGGAAAGTTACGAGGCGGAGAAACCTGTTGGTTGAAAAGCCCTGTGTTTTGGTACATAAACACTGGGGGTCAGGGCCTCATCTCAAAGGGCTCATTCAGCTCGCCCCCCGCCCCCGCCATCTTCCAGCAACCACAGGGCTGGACACGACCCCACTGGGCTCAGCCCTGCCAGGCCCGAGTGGTCTGAGAGGAGCCAGAAGCCTGGGCTTGCAGATCAAAAGCTGAAGATTCTGCCTCTGACCCTGGAAGGAAACCAGGGCAGAGGGTGGAAGGGCTCTCTTACGCCACGAGGGTCAACAACACATCAGGATTCAGACCTAGGAGGGCTGTGAGTCCAGGTGAACCCAGATAAGCCCAGGTGAGCCCAGCTGTGCCCAGGCTCAGCCAGGAATCCTTGAAGAGAAACAGAATCTCTGGATTCCGACTGGGTCCCCATAGTCTAAGTGGACTTCAGAATGATGACTGCACCAAATAAAGAAAAGCAAATATTAGAAAAAACCCACCTTTTTACATATGCCATCTAGTTAAGGTACCCTACAGACAATGGTTCACGTTCGTCTTTAAACAGAGACATCCGGATCATTACACCAACCTTCTCCTTCTAGCTGCTCGCGGATAAAATTTCAAACGGCATTTACAAAGAAAGGCACATAGCTATCATCTCCTCAGTACTTACCGTCCAAGACAGGTCATAACAAAAAAACAACTTTGTTTTTCAGCGTTGAATGTGCCTTTTAATAACTACAGAAAAGAGGAAACCGTTTACATTCACCAACGGGCCAAAGTCAACATGGATTTTGTGAGCTGGCAAACGAGGGAGCTCGCGGGTGTTCTTGGGGGCTAGTGGGAGGGGAAAACACCCTTTCAAGACCCTATTTACACCCGAGCACCCTGAGATGTAAGAAAAAGGGACACAGAGGGAAGACCAAAGCCGCCATCCTTGCCATCCCTACAACAGCAGATCTGTCAGCAACGCAAGCTCAGTGCCCCTTGGAGAAGCTTCCTCCATTTGCTGTTTTAAATCCTCACTACTCAAAGGGTGGTCCCAGAACCAGCAGCGCTAGGCGCCCTTAGCTAAGTTAGAAGTGCAGAATCTCAGGCCCCATCCCAGACTTGCTGAATCAGAACCTGCATTTTAGCGAGTCCCATGGGGGATTCTTATGCACATCAAAGTGGAAAGCACAGGTCTAAAACTGGAACAACTTCTACAAGACCAAGAACTTAGAAAGTGAGTTCTCCTGCCCTAAGAGGGATCAGCAGGGCCACCGCCACAGAGACCCAAGAGAACAGAAAGTTTTCTCCAGCAGGTAGACCAGGAGCGCCTTGGGAGCAGGGAAGGTCAGCCAGGGCACCTCAAAAGCCGCTTCTGCAATGGGGCTCAGACTTCCTCGTGAGCTGATACTAATACATAAACCTGGGCTGCTTTGCGGAAGGCAGGATTATTCTCTGCCCGCTCCGGCTTTAAAGATGCCAGCACCACGCCACACGTAGCAGCACACGGTTCCTGGCTGATAGAGAATTTATTTATTTTCTCTCCCTTTTAAGCCTGTCACCCTGCTTCCAAGAGTCAGCTTCAAGATGCCAATGAAAAAGTTGCAGAGGTGGAAAGAGCACTTCACGAAACCTACATACACGTCCTGACTTCGAGAGTGGAACTGAGCAAAATGATTCGGGTTTGGGCTGACGTGACTGCGGAGAATGTTCTCTAACACCTGGCTACTCAAAGTGTGGTCCGAGGACAGGCCGACCTGGGGGTTGATTAGAAATCACCCTGTCGGGCCTGCTGCAACTTAACCGGATTCCCAGCCAAATTCAAGGGGTCCCGCTGACCCCCAGAACCAGAGGGAGGGTCTTCGGAGCAGCTGGACTTGTAGCCACGGCCGTTCCCAGGGCTCCCGGGCCCCCCACACATGCCCACCGGGAAGCACTAAATGAAAAGGAGATCTTGGGGAACCACTGTCAAAGGAAGGCAGGTCAACAGCCTCCGGCTCGCCCTGGAGAGGGGCCGAGGTGGGGCTCCGGGCACCCCTCCCCCTCCTCTGCCACCTGCCAAGGCCGCCCCGCTTCTCCTCCGACCCCCTCCTCTCCCAGGGACACCCCCTTCCAAACTGCATGGGGCTGCCCTTCCGAGTCCCACGCTCTGGTCGCGCTGGCCCCAGCCCCCGGGCCTCCAGCCCCACCGAAGGCGCCGAAGGAGAGAAAAGCCGACTCACTTCGGTGCCCTCTCAAGCCCCCACTCCACTTCCATCAGCCCCGCAGCCGCTGGCTCCCCGGCTCCACTCCGCGGTCACTTCCTGCTTCCCTCCCGGCACACGTGTCCCCCGGCCTTGAGGCCCCGCCCCCACTGCTGCGACTGGCAGATCCGGCCGGGAGAATAAATTCTCTGGTTCACAGCCTCTGCGGGCTCGGGAGCAGATCGGGACGGGTGGAACAGCCCTGCAGAACCCTCTGCAATCTTCCAAGAAGCCCCAGACACCCAAGGAAAGGACACCTTTCGCAACGTCCCTGATACCGTTTATGTTGCTACACTTTGGCAGTTGAGTCCAACGCCCTGGGTGAGCAACAGAGCAGGAAGCGTTTGGAGAGGGTGGGGAATGGAATCTCTCACCATCAGCATCCTTCTCTAGGTCAATGGCCCTCAAACTACAGCGTCCAGTGGAACCACCCAGAGAGATGTCAAAACACAGAATGCTGGCACCCTCAGAGCTTCTGGTTCTGGAAGCCTGGGTGGGGCCCAAGGTTTTCTGTTCTGAACTAGTTGTTGCTTTTGCTCTGGTCCCCTGGGACCCCTCTTTGAGAACTGCTGCTTTGCTCTCCAGGCCTTCTACAAAAAGACTGTAGGGTAAGATAGCTAGATTTAGTCAAAAATAAAGACAGGATGCCCAGTTAAGTTTGAATTTTAGATAAACAACAAATAGTTTTTTAGTGTAAGTATATCCTGGGCAGTATTGGGGACATACTTATGCTAAAAACATATTTCATATTTGTTGCTTATCTGAAATTCAAATGTAACGGGTGTCCTGTATTTTATCTGATGACCCTACCAGAGGGTAACCAGAAACACTGCCCGTAATCACAGTGGCCACAGACCAGAGGATCCAATAGGAGCAGACCACTTTTGTCCATAGTTGTGGGCACTGATGACTGCACCAGATCCATGCACTGGGCCAGGAAGGGAAGACGGCGTGGTGACAGTAGCTGGTTTCTGCCTTCAGGAGATTCCCAGACCAGGGAGAGAGCCAGGTCAGCTGTCTTAGTCAGCTAGGGCTGCCATAAGAAAATACCACAGACTGGGTGGCTTAAACAATAGACACCTGTTTTCTCACACTTCTGGAGGCTGCAAGTCCAAGGTCAGTCCAAGATCAAGGTGCAGATTCAGAGCCTGGTGAGGGTCTCTTCCTGGTTTGCAGATGGCTGCCTCTCACTGTGTCCTCACATGGCCTTTTCTTGGTGCACACACAGGAAGGAAGAGAGAGGGATCTCTCTCTCTCTCTCTCTTCTTATAACGCTTCCAATCCTATCAAATGAGAAGCCCACCCTTATGGCTTCATTTAACCTTCATTACCTCCTAAAAGCTCTATCTCCCAATGCAGTCCCATTGGGGGTTAGGGCTTCGGCATATGAATTTCATGGGTGGAGGCCTCGTGAATGGCATTGTTATCCTTATAAAACAGGCTCCAGAGAGCTCCCTTGCCCCATCTGCCATGTGAGGATACACAAGAAGTCTGTAAGCCAGATAAAGCCCTCACCCAACCACGCTGACACCCTCATCCCAGACTTCCAGCTTCCAGAACTGTGAGCAATAAATTTCTGTTGTGTATAAGCTACCCAGTCTGTGGCATTTAGTTACAGCAGCACGAAAGGGACTAAGACACCCCATTTTACAGATAAGAAAACTGAGGCTCAGGAAAGCTCTGTATTGAGCCCAAGTTGACAGGGAGGTATGGAAAACCAAGCCCAGCTGACGCCAGAGATGGTGTTCTTCCTGCCTCAGACATTCAGGACTCACAGGATGGGACGGGACACCCTGATCAGCAAAACATCTCTCTTCCCTTGAGCCATGCCAGTGCCCTAAAGCAGGGTGGCCAACCCCCAGGAGACAAATCCTGCCATTTCCCATCTTTCCCACTGAACCCCTTACACACACACACACACACACACACACACACACACACACCAACCCAAACATACAAATTGCCTCTGTCTTTCTTGCACTCACTGATGGTAAGAAGTGCCCAAGCGTTGCCCAAAAGAAAATGTTTCCTTAAAGCTAAGTACACTGGCTCTTACCTCCAGCCCGTCCCCAGCCCATTCCCATTCTCTCCCTCCAAAGCAAACTGTGCCGTGCAGCCTCCATAAGCTGGGGGAGGAGAGGAGAGATGAGTGTGTAAGAACAAACTAATTAGCAGGGGCTCATTAAAAGGTGGTGGGGGACTTCCATGCCAGCGCCGTGGTTAAGAATCTGCCCGCCAATGCTGGGGACAAGGGTTCGAGCCCTGGTCCGGGAAGACCCCACATGCCGCGGAGCAACTAAGCCCGTGTGCCACAACTGCTGAGCCTGCGCGCCTAGAGCCCATGAGCCACAACTACTGAAGCCTGTGCACCTAGAGCCCGTGCTCCGCAACAAGAGAAGCCACCGCAATGAGAAGCCTGCGCACCGCAACCAAGAGTAGCCCCCGCTCAGGGCAGCTAGAGAAAGCCCGCGCGCAGCAACAAAGACCCAACGCACACAAAAATAAATAAAATAAATTTATATAAATAAATAAAATTTAAAATATAATAAAATGAATAAAAGGTGGCGGGTGCCGTGCAGGCAGAGAGGGCTGCCTCCCAAACGTCCAAAGGCCGTAGAACGAACTTGACAGTCAGCAAGGTATCCGCAGGACAGTGGGATGGTGGCCCTTTCCAGAGGAATTGCTGTAGCTTGATCTGGTTAAGCAACCTGCCAGCAGCAAGCACCTCCCACTGGAGCATGGGGCGGGGCGGGGCGGGGCGGGGCGGGGCAGGGGGTGGAGGGAGACAGCTTCATGGGAAGTGTTGGGGGAGATGGAGAAGGGACAGGAGATGGACACAAGTGGTCCAGCCCAGTAAGTCCTCAATGTCTTCACTGTTGCTTCTCTTATTCTCTCCTCCTCCCCACCCCTTCCTCCTCCCTTCTCCTCCTTCTTCTCTCTCTCTGTCTCTCTGCCCCCGCTTTCCCTCCCCTCCCTCCCTCCCTCCCTCCTTTCCTCTCTGAAATCTTGTTTCTTTTAGGAAGTACTGCAGCAATTAAGCAAAGGCTTTGGAATCTGACAGCCCAGGAAGAAGGCCAGCTTGGCACGTGAGTTTCCTTGGACAAATTCCCCCACCCCTCTCAGCCTCAGTTTCCGCATCCTGGGTCTGGGAGTAATCACCCTGTGCTCTCTCTCCAGGTGACTGGAACTGGAACAAAGCGCCTACCATCCAGCAGGGCACCCATCAAGGCAGGCTGAAGGATCATTATCCCTGGACCCTCACTCCTTCCTTCGTTTATTCACTCATGCATTTATCCAGTGGATATGTCATGGGCCTCTGTTGGCTCTGCTGGGCCCTGGCACACGGAGATCAGCCACACACAGATAGCGTGACCTGGTCCAGCCTCTCTGGCCTCTCACTTCTTTCCCTTTCCTGAAGTCTGACCACTGACACATCACGAGGACCAAGATCAGCCTCTGAGCCTGGGGCGCCGGTTCCTTCCAAGTGTGGATGATAAACCCGGCTGAACTGGCGCTGATATGCTGAAGGGATTAAAGAAGTGAAAGTAATAGGCAGTTCAAAGAAGTGCCATTGAAATGTCCGGGGGAGGGGGGGGTTGTTGTTCTTTTAGGAGATTTTCTAAGTATGCCCCACCCATATATCCAGAATTCATCCACTTTGCCCAAAATAACAGCTCTGACTCATCGTCCTGCCCTGATTCCCACTGTGCATCCCCGCCCCCCCCCAGCCCCCAGTCTGTCCTCCAAACAGTAGCCAAAGTGATTTTTTAAAGACAGAAGTTCAGCCACGTCAGTCTACTACTGCAAAGCCTCTGAGAGCTCCTCCTTGCCTCTGGAGTAAACTAGTGGGTAGAGGCCAGGGACGCTGCTAAACATCCATCACTACCCACAGCCTCCACAACAAAGAATTATCTGACCCAAAATGTCAATAGTGCCAAGATTGAGAAGCCCTGGTGTAACCCCATAAAATAACTCTTCTTAGTATGAAGTGATGACAAAACTCACTCTTTAAAATGTAACACACCCTTCAAGAGGCATCCAGCCTCAGTCAAGGCACTAGTTAGCATTTGATTCACCCTAAAAGGCAAGAAAGAAGAGAACCAACTGTCCAGCCAATCTTCATATTCCAATCACTGCAAAGATACACCTACAATCAAACCTCCTAGGTGCTCAATTCCCTCGACCCTCCTGGGTTTTGATTATTTAAGGTTCTGACGTCAGGATGCTATGACATCACAGGGCTTCCTAAATGGAAATGCCTGGAAAGGCTTTGGCAGGTGGAACAGGTCTAACTGCCCTTAAGATTTGCTCTCCAATGTGACTGATAAACTGAGGAAGGGGAGATTCTAACCTGCCTTTTATCTAAGCACCATCCAAAGGAGCCAACAGCGACTTGATGCCAGTTTTCTGAGCCTCGTACAGGGAAGAGCTGCCCTCAAGGGCTTGAGGGGGAAATGGACGCAGCAAGCATGTCCCTTCTCACCTTTGTCCAACTGATTAATTCTGAACCTGCACCAGCTATGTTGGAGGGAGGGTATAGAAGTACAGGTTCTCTAAATGTCCATGGACAGATGAATGGATAAAGAAGATGTGGTATATATACAATGGAATATTACTCAGCCATAAAAAAGAATGAAACAATGCCATTTGCGGCAACATGGATGGACCTAGAGATGATCATACTGAGTGAAGTAAGACAGAGAAAGACAAATACCATATGATGTCACTTACATGTGGAATCTAAAAAGTGAACTTATTTACAAAACAGAAATAGACTCACAGGCATAGAAAACAACCTTTTGGTTACCAAAGGGGAAAGCAGAGGGGAGGGATAAATGAGGAGTTTGGGTTTAACATATACGCACTCTACTATATATAAAATAGATAACCAACAAGGGCCTACTGTGTAGCACAGGGAACTCTACTCAATATCTTGTAATAACCTGTAATGGAAAAGAATCCGAAAAAGGATGGATTTATTATATATACGTATAACTGAATCACTTTGCTATACACCTGAAACTAACAACACTGTAAATCTACTATACTTCAATTAAAAATAAATAAATAAATTTTTAAAAGAC